TACCTCTAATTAGCTTATGGTCTGTTAAACTAAGCAGCAAATATTTTTCCAATTACCTTTTCTTCTACACCTCAGAACAACAATGTAAAACTTTGATAACCAGTGCAAAGTATTTTCTTCATGGCATGAAAAATGTTCAGCCTTAACCTATTCATGTGTCATTTTCTGCTGGACTTTGTGTCCAGAAGTGGTAGCAGAGAGTTTCCTGCTACCAGTTTTTTAACATCTGAGAATGCGTCAAAAGAAAAATGAACAGGAAAACTCCCTCTGTTAGGAGGTGAGGGGGGTGGGGGGAGGGGAGGAAGAAAAGGGGGGAAAAAAAGTATCTGTTACATTCCAAAATCAGTCATAATAATGAAAGTTCACTCAAATAATTGCCAGAGTCAGAATGGACAAACATCTGGCTTATTCATCCCTAGCTATACTAACAAAAATATGATATCCTGTTAGAAAAATCACTGATCATCCTAGTTTATTTTGGCAGTTTTGCACCTTGGTATTTTTCCCTTAAATAAGAACGTATCAGTACTTTACAGCTAGCATGCCTCCAGCTCCAGGTTCACAGTTCATGTGCTTCTGTGACTTTGAACTCTTCTTTTCCTGAGTTTACCAGCAGACAGCTGCACCAGAACAGAGATGTTTACATGTGGGGAGTAAATGGCAACTTGCAGCTCAGATTTTCCATTTCCTTTTACATTGTTCAGGAATCCAGGCTCACAATTTGTGTCCTAAAGCTTTGCATCTGACTTGGCCTTTCATAGTACGAATGTTTTATTTTGACATTGATTTGTTGATAGAAAGGGCTGACTAGGGAGAAGCTACTTTCACTAGAAATTACCCTCAGTATACATGAAGTTCAATTGTGGGTGAAATAGCTTTTTAAGAAATATTCTAAACATCACTTTCTGTAAGGCTTTCAAGCACTATGTAAATGTGAGACTAATGTGGAACCACTTTATGCAGCTTCAGCGTGATAGATGTATTTTTAGATGGAGAAAAATTACATTTTTTATTAAAAATAATGATGAAATCTGATTATCTGCTTAAACCATGACACTGTCTATTTAAGCTATTGTCATGTGTAGGTGATTCTCAGATGTGCTTGGCAAGGCAGTAATTTACACGAAGAAGGTTGTGATAATTATAAACAAGAAACAAAACCATCAGAGTGATTTGTTCACTTACCTGAAGTGGAATTACAAACTCCAGTGAAGAGTTCGTTCTGTCTTTACACCACCCGACAGACTTGTCTCTATTGCCTGATTTAATATTTATGGACTTTTCCTTTCCCTTTTGTACCTAATTTTGATATTTTGGGTTCAGGCTCTGAATGAAAACTATTGATGATTTTGTAGCAGGAGTGAGTGAAATAGATGTTATGTCAGTGATCTGTAGAAAGACTTATAGTAATTGTGTGTTGTGTTTTGCTTACTGTTGTTTTGAAACAAGATTCTGAGGTTACCCTAATGTGTTAGAACATGTTAGCTTTTGGTCACCCTGCGTGCAAGTTTTATGAGAACAAAGTATTTGACCTTATTGGATCATTTTGGTGCAGTTTACTTCTGGTATAGATGTGTTTATTAATTGCTAGGTTTAACCTATGACCCACTATTAAAAGTAATGTAATGGGAATGCACTGCTGATACATGAAACTTTAATTTTTAAACTTCATTCCCTTATGAATGAAGTGTTCCTTATGATACTTGGGCTCTAAAATTGAAGTATAAAATCAAACAGCAGAGTATTTGTAGAATTAGGTTTAGGTTTTACCCTTTATATCACCACACAGTGAGAGAGTCCCAAGAGCCCTATTTACTGAAAATTACATACAGAAAATAATCTTTTAGAACTTGTCCAGATCATCGTCAAGTCCTGTAGGTGCAAAAAGGGGATTCAGAATGCAAAGCAGGGCCTGCAAGTCTGATCTGCAGGCCTGATCTGAGTCTGCATATGTTTGCCATGGGGTTGTGTTCTTAGGCTGGCAGTGCAAATACCTGTGTGTCTTCTGTGAGCTCGCTGAAGGCAAATCAGTTACCTCTTTACTTTTATTGAACTGCTTTAGAACTCTGTTTGTGCCTGGGAGATGAAAGCAAGCAGTTAACATCATGCTGATATCTATTACAAACCTCCTACCTGCTTGCAGGGCAGCAGCCCAGGTAGCCATGATTCATAGGGGTGGAAAAAGGCCACTTGGCAGGGGACAGGATAAACAGACATCCATGGAGGGGAGCTGAAGCTGGGCAAAAACTGTGTACGCAGGTAGCAGTGGCTGTGTTACAAACTTTTCTTCAGTTGAGGTACACAACTGCTTAAGTAAATGTTCGTTACCCAAAATCTATGTCAGGTAACCTGTAATCTATAATTGTAATGTGTTGACAAAGTGTATATGAGAAATCATAACCAAAATAAATGGCCTGATTTCTGTTGTTACATTTAAAGTCATTAGCTGGTTTATCTCATGATCTCTAAATGTAGACTAGCTTGAAACTTCCTATTCAGAGTCTATGTTTTTCATTGGTGCTTTCATTTCAAAGCAGGAAACAATCTGAAAGTAATTGTATCAAGTGTTTCAGCACAAAGATTTTAAATTATAATAGCTTGGCATATTATTCTGCCTTCTTACTATTCCTTGGAGGAAATAAAATGGAGTTGCAACTTTCTTCCAGACAGCTTTTCTACTACATCCTGTTTCCTTCCGCACACTGGAGAAAGCACTGACGTCTCCCTTTCCTCTGCTTCCAGTGAAAAAATTCCATTCCCCATGTTGTAGCACATACTCTGGTGGAAACTGGCGTTGTGTTAGCTTTTCACATGTCAGTACAGTTTTTGGGTTTTTTTAGGCAAATGCACATTTTGCCCTCCCTATCAAAGGAAAGCATTGCAGAGAACAGACGAATATGCACAGCTGCTCAGATAGGTGGCCCCCCTCACAGCTCTCCTGGCCATTTGCCCTGGCTGCCTACACTGTCCAAAGGGTGGCTTGTACCTCCTCGAGAGAACCATGAAGTACTGTGTGAGCAGTTGCTGTATTTACTGGAAGGCTGATATCTCTGCTTTTCTCCCACTGAAAGGCAGACTTGCAATCCCCCTTTCTGTAAGGAAAATTGACCCTTGAAAAGGCTTGGCATGAAATGGATTAACTCCCTGGAAACTTTGTTTGGAAATGTTAGTAGACTGCTATGTATATACGCTGGCAGTCTCTGGAAGAGACAAATTATTTTCCCACCCTCTCAAGCACTTGGTAGTTTATCTGTTGTTTATATTAAGGATTGATCATGGTTATATATTCCTGATTCAGAGTTCTCATTAATCACCCTATGCCACATAAGAGATTGGAGAAGAAGAATAGAGGTTACTGGAAAGCAGAAACATGATCCCTGGCTCTGCTTTTAATATGACTTACCCTGACATTAGCTTTGCTCCTATGAATTACTGTGTTGGTGTAAACCTCTTTTTTTTTTTTTTTTTGTGTCCATGTTTGCTATGTCTGTTTTTCTCAGGGCTATTCAGAAAAAGATGATATACTTATTACAATGATTTAGGACAATATTAATCATGATACTTGCCATGTTACTATTTCAAGATGTCCCTGCCCCCTCAGCATACCCACCTCCTTGTTTGCTAACACTTGCTTCCTCTCCCAGCCCCAGCAGCCATTTCCTCCCTCAGAGCAGATCCACACAGGCAATTGTTTAAGCCTGTGCAAAATGAAGACAAGGTGGAAAAGGACTGCTGGGGTGAGGACAAATGCCCAAAGGCTGTGACTTCCTAAAGTGCATTGGCTGCCAACAAAGAGATACTTTCTGCCACAGCAACAGAGCAGATCTGTACCTCCTCCTCCTTGACCCTACTGAAGGTTTCCAACCCTGAAATGTTCAATCAGCTGTTGTGGTCACTTCCCCTCCTAAGCATGGGAGACAAAACTGCTGGCGAGAGAGAAAGAGAAGGGAATTTACGAATTTTTACAACTTGATTATGAGGGTTGTAAGAACACGTTACCAGCCCTGCTTGGAGCCAAGTTGAGAAGCCTCTGGAGCAAGTATTTTCCCACCCTAGCTTGTCAGCCTGAAAGTCCCTTCACATCTTTCAGAGGCGTGCATTGAGCCCAACTCATTAGTGTGTTCTGGTGGGAAATTGTTGCATTGGCAAATTTTCAACCAACAGGAGATTTAATCCCTTGAATTTTTTTATTTGCTTTCTGCTTGTGTTTGTCTAATAAAAAGAAATTATTTGGATTTTAAAAGAAGCAATTGAAATAATTGCTGTTTGACAAATCAGAGCAAATTCTCTCTGAAGAGACTGATACAATTTAATACAGATGATCTTCTCTTTATTTGTAGCTCCACTAAAAATATTTTGCCAGGTGTATCCTAATTCTGGACAGATTTTTCTCTTGAGTCACGTTACATTCATGTCTGCCTTCTTTGGTGCAAAAGCCCACTATTAAATTCACTGTTTAACGGCATATTCAATACTGTGACTGTAACTGCTGGTTTGTGTTTATGATTAAACATTCTCTCCACAAATGCAAGAGATGATCAGAAGTTCTGCAAACTTAGAAGAATTTAGGTCCATTAGTTGTGATGAAAACACATCTTCAGTGAAATCAAAGGAGGAGAATTAAAATAGGAAAGTCTTATATCTGTGAGAATTTGCAAACATTTTAAATGTGATTGCACAGAAACAGTGATTTTAGAGGACTAGATTTTTTTAAATACTTTGATTCAGAGTAATTTAGGTTGCTTGGGTTTTTTCCCTCCATGTGACTACTTTTGATGACATATTGTACATATCAAGAATAAGAGAACTTATTTCTGAGTTGGGAATAGGTTTTTAATCAGACTCTGTAATGTAAATAGAACTCTATTTGAAAGTTCATTCAAAACTGAGTACTGGTGTATATTTAAATGCACTGTATGCTAAAGTAGAAATATCCTCCAGTGTTTAACCAAAAGCATGTTTAATGTGTGGTTTTGTTTTGTTTTTTTAATGTTTAACAGTAACTGAAGCTGGCTTTGGTGCTGACATTGGGATGGAGAAATTCTTCAACATCAAATGCAGGGCGTCTGGCTTGTTTCCCAGTGTGGTTGTACTTGTTGCTACAGTGAGGGCTTTGAAGATGCATGGAGGTGGGCCAAATGTAAGTTTTTGCACCTTTCTTGGAAAATAAAATTGTTGCTAATATTTGAAATAAGTAAAATATCTTGATTTAAGAAATATTTGGGGTAGCCTAAGGGCTAATATTTAAATAACCCTTCTGAGATACCTCATTATATAGATGTTACCTCTAAAGTTAATGCAAGAAAGGCACAAATGAAAGAAGAGGGACAAAAGAGCTCTGAAGAAGTACTGTATCTTGCTGAGCTAGGAAAGTTTGTTCACATGAAAAAAAAAGCTATATGATATAAATATCTATATTCTTTTTCCTGCCTTTTGAAATAGCATTTTAAAGTGCATTGAAGTAGTCATAGGCTGGAAAATTTGGCAGCTGAGGAGGAATGAGAATGAATTCGGGTTGCAGTGTGTGAGTGGAAATAGAGAACATTGTTGGTGAAGGTTTTGAGATTTCTTTCACTCCAGTAATGGGTACTCATTACCCCTTCTGTCCTTTTATTTTGTTCAGGTTAATTTCCTCAGAGATGCTGAAGTAACTGTTAAAATTTTGCGAATGTTTTTCTGGTGTACCAGAAGTCACCAGTGTATCATTTTTTTGCTATTTAAGCCACAAAGAGACTTGTACCAATTACTGGTGGTAGAAGTGCTCCTCAATCGTGCAGTCAGATCAGACTCTGCTAGCCAAGTAGACAGACACTGGAATTAACTCCTGGAAACACTTTCATCTGCCCAGAAGCATGCTAGAGAGTGATGCTTCCAGGGAAACAGTCTCACTGGGTGAAAATACCAGAGCTGTTTCCACAGCCACAAAATTTTGGAACACACGGTCTCCCTAACAGCTAAACATCTCTAAGAGTTAAAGCTGAGCCATCCTTTTTCAGTCTTTCAGGTTGATATAATTACAGGACTTTCTGTCATTTTAGTCCACTTCTAATGCACCTTTTCTTTATTTTTAATTACATTCCTCCATTCCTTACAAGGCAGGTGTATTGTCACACGTGTTATCATTCAATCTAGCAAAAATAGGACTTAAATATGTCTTAATAACTGTTTCTGTTTTTGTCTGAGTTGCGCCTTTAGAAGTTTAAAGTTTTTGTTTGTTTACAAATGCAATGCATTCATCACAGAGGCATGTAGAGTACCAGATACTTTTACTGGGAGGTTAACTATAAAATGGACCAGTGCTAGAGACAAAAGTGAGTAAGTCCAGTGCCTGGGATTGATGTATGTAGTCCTTGATGACTAAATATATTACCCTGGTGATACTCTTTGCATGTATACCTTTGTGCTTTCCAGCAAAGTAAATAACTTGCATACAGTTCCTTGCCCCAGGCAGCAATTGCAAGACATTAAAAGATGATGTTCCTCTTCTGGTCATCTGTGTTGCTGTTATTTCTTCAGCCAGCTGTTGGAGGTTGCTGTCCATTGTCTTTGTACTGCTGGTGTCTTGTAACAATATGTAGAACGAAATCCAATTAGCTCTCCTTTACTGCATCTTTTGCAACTAGTTCCTACGTCACTACCTGTACCTTACTACCCAAATACAATAGGAAATGTTGGCATTCTTTATCTACTGGTGAAATAAAACAGAAACTGCAGACAGACTATGCTGTTGTGTGCAATGTATGTGTTAATCGGCAGTATAGAAAGTAGGCAAAAGTGCACTGCAGACCCTCTAGGGTTATGACAAGTGTCAATCTGTGATGACTTTGTTTATTATCCCAGGTAACTGCTGGTGCCCCCTTGAAGAAAGAATACACAGAAGAGGTAAGAGGAATGGTTATAAAACTTAGGAGAGGTTTGTTTAAAGGAACAAAATAATGTGGCATATGGAGAATCAGAACTTCTCATTCCTCTGGCTGCATAGTGTGCAGCCTCAGGTTTGACAATAGCACATTCTATTGCTGACATTCAGTGAACATCTTTAATAGGCACTGCCAACAAGTAAAGCCATCCCATCCTCCCTCAGCCCCTTTCTGTTATCCCTCTTGGATGTGTTATTTGTGTGACTGCATAATGGATTGTAGTGAGGAACTGAACGAGCTGAAAAATAACCTTTTTTCAGTAGTTTTTCTGGGACTACTAAATTTTCAGATTGATCAGCGTACAGGCATTTATAGAAGGAAGAGAGCAGAGTGGTGTAGGGGTCAAAGACATTCCCTGAAACTAATGATAGCATAACCTGTTCATTAAACAAGTTGAATCTGTGTTTCACGTTTGGGCTTGGATGTCACTCGTCAAACAAGTGTGAATTCTACTGGTTTGTTTTCTTCATCACTTCACTGTAGCCAAATTCTGGTCTTCTGCTTGTATGAAGCTAAGAATATGTGTTTTGTTATAATTAAGACAAGGTCTACAAAGTGTGAGGTAAAGAGTAAATAAGGAAATCCGGTAATGTGCTTCTATCTGGGATATGTATGTATATATAGATTAAACTATATATCTAACACATCTCTATGTCAATCCCCACCCCACTACTGTAGTTTTTATAAACTTTGCAAACGAGAGACTAACAGGTCTTTCACAATCATGACAAGCGACCAGTCATCAGCTGTACCATCTTCTTGTGTCCCAGAAGAGAGCAATGGTTTCATGTACAAACTTTGTACACTGATAGTTACTTAAATATGTCTGTTGCTTATTAGTTGAAATAAGAATTAATAAGGGCAAAAATTCATTTGTCTGGAAGCTTTTCACTTGCCTGCAACTGTCATGATCAACACTGTTCTGTTCACTTTAATTTATGGAAAATTCTTTGGCTGGAGAAGTCTCTGTGTATGTTACCATTTCCATTAATTTTTATTTAATTGCACAGAACCTCCAGCTGGTAGCTGATGGCTGCTGTAATCTACAGAAACAGATTCAAATTACTCAGCTCTTTGGAGTTCCTGTTGTGGTTGCTCTAAATGTCTTCAAGTAAGTCTATTCTTTGATTACTTTTGTGAGTAAATACACAGCTTAAACTTCTTTCTTTTCTTGGTTTTTAAATTAATGAATTTTGGCATAAAGAAAAGAAGCTATTAAAAAATTTCCATTTTCGTCATGAATATAAAGGTTTTAAAACCAACAAAAAGTATATACTATTATGAAACCGACAATCTTCCATGTTAATTAACTATAACAATCACAAAGAGTTTTCTTGCAACCTGTAAATATGTATACTCTGTATAAATGCATTATGTATATGGCAAAATTTCTATATTGCTTTACAATTGCTGATGGTGGAATAAGGCTAAGTTTATAAGGTTATAAAAGAGTACTAATTAAACAAAATAATGAGATGGAATTGTTTGCCTGGCAGAACTGACTCTCCTGCTGAGGTTGATCTGGTGTGTAAGATTGCAAAGCAGTCTGGAGCATTTGATGCTGTACCCTGCAATCACTGGTCAGCTGGTGGTAGAGGAGCAGTAAAATTAGCTCAAGCTGTGGAAAAGGCGGCCAATCAGAAAAACAGTTTCAAATATCTCTACAGCTTGGAGGTAAGAATTTTATTTTTTTTTTAATGAAAGCATGCTGCATCAGGGTTGGATTTAAAACAAGAAGAGCATTGCAACAGTTATCCAATATACTTGGAAAGGAACTTGCCTTGGTTTAAAATCACAAAAGCTGGAGAGAACAATCTGTGGCTTGTCTAATCAAAGAGCAGGATACTTGCTGGTAATGATTGTTGTTTAGTGCGCTGAATGATGTTTCTGATGCTTCCATGTTTAATGTAAAAGTATGTATGCAGATGGAACATTCACAAATTATTGAGAGACTTCTCCACAAAGATCTCACAGTCATGGTATTTTTCCTGTCAGTCAGCTAAAATGAAATGTAATTGCTGTCTCACAGTAATGGGTATTGCACCATGTTGTGGCTTCCTGAAGCGTTCACTCTCTGTACGAGAAGGATGTAATAGGTAGCATGTTCTCGCTCATCCTACGTCTACCCAGCCCAGCCAGGTCAACACAGAGAAAAAGCACTACCTTTACCAGCACCTTCTTACACAACACAACTCTCAGATGAACCTGAAGAGCAGAGGTGACCCAGTCCTGTTCCTTCTCTCCTGATGATCAGATTGGAGTCTGCTAGTACAATATGGCACATGTATGTGGGTCACTGCTGCTGTTGGCTTTAAATCCTCAGTCTACCCAGGAACAGCTCCCAGTGCCCTTGCCTTGCTCCAGCTGATGGCACCAGAGTCCACAAGCCCCTGAGTTTCATGGCTTACTCCAGCTGCTGGCACTCAGACCTTTCCTCCTACTCTCTAGTGCTCATACATACACATCTAGAGCAGAGAGCACACCTGCACAGAAGGGAGACAGAAATCAGATTTAATGAGAATAGAGCATAGGTTGCGGTCCTTGAGCACAGAGCTCAGTTAGTCAGACTACTGACAAGGCAGACACCTTTACACACAACTGATGCCTTCTTCCTCATTTCACTCATTTTTTTCCCCACACTTGTTCCTTTTCGATCCATCTTGATTACTCCCTTTCCCCATCTTTGCTCCTTCTACTAAACAGTCTTTACACATTCCCATGATCCCCTTTGAAAATCCCATCCTAAAATTTACACAGTCCCAAAATCTGCTTGTTCATACATCCCATAGAGTCATGTGCTGCTGTAGGCAATCACTTGCTTTCATTTACAATTTTCTGATCAAAGAGTCTCCCCATTGACTCACCTTGGTGCATTTCACACCAAGGACAGTAGTCTCATCTTCCCCTTGGATAGAAAACAGGCAATTCAATGTGCTCTAATTTTCACTGATTAGGTTTTTCCACTGATTATATTACTAGGGTTTCTCCACCTATCATTGTTCCTCTGATCCTTGCTGGGGCTAATTTGCTTAGCCGTTAGATAACCTAAGAAATGATAGTGTAGTCCAAGTTTCAATCCTGTGTCTGCCAGAGATAGTGACTCTTTTTCCATGTCTTGGAGACTTTGTTATTGCAGTTGTCTGGAAGGTAACATCGCGGCATTGTGACCTGTCAAGAGGAGTAGCTTGCAAAAAAGGATTACTTGGGCCCCTGGAAGCTCCATGCTTGAGTACTACTGTGGTGGCAGAACACTTGGAGGGACATATTGCCAAAAAGATTATACAAATGATTTCTCAGGACCTTCCTAGCTATCCAAATGTGGGTGGGTTTAAATCTGGGCAGCCAAACAGACTTCTCTGGTTTCGAGGCTTTGGAGCCAATTTGACAAGGGCTGTCAGATTTCAGATCCTGTGCCCTAATTGACTGTACTGCTTAAGTTTCTTTAGAAAATGTCTGAATGATATTTTTTAACAAGAGAACCTCAGTTTCATTCTTTTAAATGGCTGAAAGTTCCTGTTTTGATTCTTCTCTCCAGAAAAAAGTTCAGCTTGAGGTAGATATGCCCTACTACTCTCTTCCATTCTCCCTTCTCCTTGATATGTATACCCTGTATGTATTGCACCCATTTTATTTCTTCTTTCCATGTCCCCTGCTGTTTTTCAAAATGTCAGTAATCCAGACAACTCCTATCAGTATTAAGCAGTGCCTTGACAGAATAGAGGTAAATACATTGGGAATATTAGTGCTGTGGCATCTACTCAAGGCATTTTGCCCATGCAATTTTTTGCAGCTAAAAAATGAACAATGTATTTGCCTTTCTAAGTTTGTCTCTTCCAAGGTGCTCTGAAAAATGAAACTATCATCTTACTGAGCTTGCATAATAACACAGAGAAAAAAATTCTTTGAAAAATATATGCAATAGTTTTAACCACTGAACACTTGTCTTACAGAGATAGGACATTAGCACTGGCCAAGTCATATCCTTAGGCTCTGATGTTACTAAATACTGTGTAGTTTATAATCTTGTGGTATGAATGAGTAAAAAGGATTGGTAAGGATGGACTCTAAGTCTAAAGAAAATGAGATTGGTTTCTACTTTAATGTCTTTCCCAGGCACATCATTTCATGCTGTGTTGCATGAACAGCATGATCTTAAGCACAAAGGGAATGAATCACAACTTTACATCAACTTAATATACCATAACTTCACAAAAGTATTATAAGTCTCAAAAATATATTGAAGGGATTTTATAAAAACATATAAAGATTTTTAAATACTGTAAAGAAAGTAAATTCAGGCCAACAAAAACAGTAAAGTTCAGGCTTCTGTTTCATTCTTACTGTGCAAAGGATGGGGAATGAAGCAGTTGGAGTAGGAGAGTGAAACAGCAATGCTGTCACTTGTACAGTATGTAGGTCAATCGGTTACTAGGCTCACAGAGAAGTGAAGGAAAGCCACCTCACCCAAATAAGCCTGCCCAGATATTAATCAAGATTGTAATAAGATTTTTTTGGGGGGCGGGTATGATTTCTACTGTTCAAAGGGGTAAAATTAAGAAATTTAAGAAAGATAAGAGGTAGTAAAGCGGGATTCAGGCAGATGATTTTCCCCCATCGTTGTGCCTAAAGGGTGTGTAAGTGAAAGGACATAATTCTGTCCCTCATCTAAATGCTAGATTTGTCCAGTTACTTGAATACTATTACATTCTGATTACCTCAAGTTTGATGGAATTTGAGCTGTTGTTGGCTTTTTTCCTGTTTTCTTTCCCCTTTGGAAGGTCAAAGAGCAGAAATATCCTGTATAAAACCACTACCACATCATTCATATATCAGTCTGTCTTCATGAAATTACTCTTCCTTTTACTATGTCTCCATTTAATCCTTTGATGTTTATGCACCTTGTTTCCCTGTCTGGAAAACTAAATCAGAATTTGCTTCTAAAACTGGCTATAATTAGAACAACTTCCAACAGTACAGACCACTATAGCCAAAACAGGTTCATTCAATAATTTGATGTTTTGTTAGAAAGCATCACCCCAGCTTGAAAAAAAAACCTTAAAGCCCCTATATGTAAAACTGATTTATATCCTTTTTAACTATGTAGAATAAAGTTTGCAGTAAATTATTTTATTAGCATACAGTCAGGGATTTAACTAAAGGATAGTCCAGACCAAGTGTGCTCTCTTTGTTTTGATTTTTTCCAAATGGCATGCATCTCTCCAGTGCTTTATGTAATTTCCAAATGTATCTCTGAAAACAAGGGCTTCCTTGAAAGGTGTTTATAAATGTGTATAATATGAGAAGAACAAGAAAGTATTTTCTAGATCTGTTAAATACTGTTTCTGAACATAAAATCTGTTCAATAGGTTTCTGAATCCTGAAGTATGGTTATACATTTATCCCATTTTTTTGATACCCAAGCATGCACTGAATGAGCAATTTTAGACATTGGGCACAACACAGTTGTGTCAGTTCAGGACTCAGGCTCTGCTAAGCTGTCCTGTTCAGTATCACAGAAAGCTACTCTACTTGTAAGACTGTGCTAACTATATTCCTTGAAGCATCTATTTTGGTCTGTTTAGATTTCCTTGGGTTTAACTTCATGGCACATTCTATAGTCCCACTTTTAGATAGCTTTTCAGATTCTCTTTATTTATTTCTCTAAGTAGGCAAGATTTTTTTTTTTTTTTTTTATCAAGTGGCTCATGCTTGTAGTTTGTATTTTTTTTTTTGGTCTTGATTCTAGCAAGGATTTGTTTGACATTTGATATTAGATGAACAAGTATTTTTTGGGAGTTGAAATGAGAATAGAATAGCTTATATATGGTTTTGGGAATCTATATCTGTACCAGTGTAATTTCATGGACAGAGTACAAGATGTGACCTTTGACAAGTATAGACAGCACCATTGCCACTGTAGGAGTGTAAGAAAATGACATAAACAGATACAGTGTACCATGAAATGCTTATAGTATTAGGAATTGCACGGGGTGGGGTGGGTTGTTCAAGAGCAAGGATGAGTTTTCATCTGATGGGCTCCAGAGTTTATAACATAGTTTAAAAGATTACTGGCAGTAATTGAAATAAATATTACAGTATTGTGTGGGTTTAGCATGGATTTTTGTCCCCTCTGCACAATAACCTCTCTTAATTTACTGTTTGAGTTGTTTTCTTGAAAAGTATTTCCCTTCAGTGCTTGAAGGATAGGTTTGTTTTAAAGGCCTTCTGAACTCTCTATGAAATAATCTGTGGTGGTTTATTTTAACATATATTCATGCTACATATGGAAAATATCAAAATATCAACCCTCTTATCACTGTTGACTTCCCTTCTGGGTTCACTTTTCTTGAAGTATGGGTCTTTAAGTTGCAGCAGAAAGCTATTACTCAAAGTAAAGTTGACTGACCCATTAAAAGTAAGTTTAGATAACCAGGGGGAGGAAAGGAGAGGATGGAAACATACGCATCCCATTCCCAAATTTGTCTGACCACTCTTGACCAGGGGTTTCTTGCCTGTCGAGTAACCTGCCTTCTTCCGCTAAGGTCTTCTTTTTTCTCCTGTGGTGAACTCTTCCTTGACTAACAGGACCCCTCCTCAACCTGGGGCAGGAAACAGAAAAAAGCAGAAAAAAGAGGGCGGGCATTAGGTTTTTAAGAGTTACATTGCCCCTTCCT